TTAGTTAGTGCTTAACACACATGTCATATTTTAGATTCTTCAGGCAGCCCCCTTGAAATTGCTGAATTTTCCATTTGGTTTACAACAATCGATTGGAAGAATTATGGTTATATGTACGTTCCTTATGTTTTCATTTCAAAAAATTATCAGTATTTCTATGGTGGAGGGTATCCAAAGTTCGGCCCGGCCCAACTTAACGCTTTTTTACTTGTTTATTCTGGGAATACCTTAGTTTATACAACAAATACAAATAATAATATTATTATGTACATTGATCTTGTACTCTACTTTCTTATATATGACTGTACAAAATAAAGAAATTTCTTATTTTCAAAAAATAAACTTGTAACCCTATTGTACAACCCCATTGTTGTATCTCTCATTTGTAATTTTGCTTTCATTTACTTTGTTTTCATTTCTTCCCTATTTTTTCCTATCTTTTCTTTCTTAATGCAGTGGCAAAAGATACACCTGACTCAGATAACGATACAACATGTGCTGAATTAAAGGCTGACGAAGGATACAAATCCTCAGTGAATAATGGTACCATTAGTCGTAGTTGTAGCAGACCAATGTCAATTTGTTCGGAACCCGAAAAGAAATGGGTGGACGTTGTGGCAGGTAAGTATTTCATCTACACACGAACGCACACATACACACACAGACATACATTTACACTGAATCAAAATGAAATTAACGAAGTATGTTTAAAGAAATTTTGTAATTTTTTACATAGATTTTACATTAAATATTTGAAATTCTATTGTAAAAATAATTGCGATTTTAAATAGTTTTTGAAATACCTTCAGCAAAACTTTTCAAGTTTTACACTTAGGGGACCCACCCCCCATTCTCAGGTCAAAAATTTTGTTGATATATTTCGAATCTACACTAGTTAATAAATGCCCCTGCAAAATTTCAAGTGAAAATCTCAAGAACTCTTGAAGATATATCCGATTTATTGTGTCAACATCAAGTGACGACTGAAGGGCTTCTTAAACTTTAAACGAGTTTTTCTCTAAACATTTTTTTGCGAATGGCGGGCACGATAACTCAAAAACTAATAATCCAATCGGTTCCAAATTTTGCAAGGCTTCTCTGGGAGTGTATAGCTCTCGTATGAACTAGGATAAAGCCAATCGGTGAAGATCTTCCTTATTTGTTAACTTAGTTTGTGGTCAAAAATAGACGATTTTCCAAAAAAACTTTTTCAAAGTTCCACCATTTTTGTTAATTTTAGAGCGAAGTCTATAATCCTAGTTCATACGAGAGCCAGACATGTACTCTTTCTAACACCGTTGGAATTTTCGGATTCCGATGTTCCAGTGAGGAGTTATCATGCCCGCCATCAAAAATAAGGACTTTTCTTTAATTACAAAAAACAACAACAAAACAATAACAAAATTTTTTTGTAAATTATTTTTCTTCTCTTTTAAATCTTCAATTATATATGTGCAAAGTTACAAACCTCCACAAGCATTAGTATTAATTTCCAGCCCATTTAAAATCTTGAAAAATTACAATCGAGAATGGGGGGGGTTCCCTTAAAAACCGTAAATGTTGCATCGATGTGCTAGGAAATAGTTACGAAATTTTACATGAAGTTATGGTCAAGGACTAGTCATCGTCCTTGACTATAACTTCATGTAAAATTTCGGTGATTTTCGGTGATAACCAGATGATATTTTGGGGATGTAATGTTTATTTTGTCTGGTTTTATAGCCGAACATCACTGCAGTTTTGACAATGATCGATCAATATTTTGCAGATCAAATGTTGGGTTATTTGGGTGAAACGTAATTTTACAAATTCCGGAATAAGAAAAAGAAGCTCTTGACGAAGAAGGTGTAAATATCGCTTAATATTTGCACCTTCTAGAAAAATAACTCAGCAGAAAGTTAGAGTGCAGTGGTAGTTGTGTAGAGTACCCATCCAACTGGACCCATCCAACTGATTTTCGATTCGTAGTATTATATGAAGGATAAGTCAAAATGTGAACACATACTCAAAGCAATATAGTCATTTTGGTCGACTAAGAATAAAATCAAATGTCGATTTTGTCATTCCGCCTGTATGTTGAAATCACGATAAAGCTCCCAATACTTATTATAAATCGTTGAATGTTTTTTAATACATTGCTACTTCTCACAGTATTTTTGCTTTTCGAAGTGGTATAAATCGATCTAGGTTTTTGGTATAGGTCCCTTGTAAAGATACGTTCCAAAATTTAGGTAGGATTGGGGAGTTGATGTATGTTTTTCACTCAGCTTGGCTGTAAATTGTATATTTTGGATTCTCCTTGAGTAGAAAATCTCATTACCAAAAGTTATCAATATTGGCTGAGGTTTAGATGTAATCCCTTTAAGGCACACCTACATAATTCGATATTTTTAAAATTTTGAACACTCAGTGCGTGTTAAATTTTCCTAATAAGAATTATCAAAGTAGGCTCACGTTTCCCTGGAGATTGCAAAGGATTACAGAAAGATTGTAATCAGGTCCATTATTGTACCAATATAATGCAACTTGAGTATTTTTTCCAACCCAAGAATTTGCAGTTTGGTATTTCGTCTTACACTGGCATAAATTTATCATAAATATGTACGTGGATATATTCAACCAGTAAGGAAAGTAGTAAAGTCGGACGGGGCCGACTATATGATACCCTTCACCACTATGGGTATATTAAACAGGACTATTAATATGAAATTGGATGAAATAAAATATGTGATATTTATCTAAATGTGAATCTACCTAGATCTATCCATTAACATGTCATTCGTATGTTACAATGGGACAAAAGTATGTAAATCGACTTCAAACAAATATAAATAGGTCATCCGTTGGGGAATGTCTGTATTTCTATAAAACGCAACTACGTAATTCTAGGCTCAATTTTGTACGTTGTGCAGAATTTGATGTCAATCTGACTAACATGAGGAGTTTGATGCCCAATTTACTTGAAATCGGGCGAAAATATATATGGAAGTTCTATCCAAATATTAAGCGATTTCACACAAACTTGTCACAGGTTAGGTTATACTAATTTCAGAACGTTTTGTTCCTATCACCCTATTGGTTACTTGTCGCGTCAATTACTTAAAATCAATCTATAATAAAAGGGAGCTATATCTAAATCATTATCGTTATGCAAAATTTCGTGCAAATCGAAGGATATATGGGGACTTTGGTGCACCCTTTACATGAACTCGGACGAAACTATACATGGGAGCTATATCTAAATCTGGACCGATTTTCTCGAAACTTGGCAGACATCATTCTAGGCTCAATTCAGTACGTTATGTCAAATTTTGTGCAAATCGAAAGATATATAGGGACTTTGGGGCACCATTTACATGAAATCGGACGAAACTATATATGGGAGCTATATCTAAATCTGGACCGATTTTCTTGAAACATGGCAGACATCATTCTAGGATCAATTCAGTACGTTATGCCAAATTTCGTGCAAATCGAATGATATATAGGGACTTTGGGGCACCATTTACATGAAATCGGACGAAACTATATATGGGAGCTATAACTAAATCTGGACCGATTTTCTCGAAGCTTGGCAGATATCATTCTAGGTTCAATTCAGTACGTTATACCTAATTTAGTGCAAATCAAAGGATATATAGAGACTTTGGTGCACCATTTACATGAAATCGGACGAAACTATATATGGGAGCTATATCTAAATCTGGACCGACTTTCTCGAAACTTGGCAGACATCATTCTAGGCTCAATTCAGTACGTTATACCTAATTTAGTGCAAATCGAAGGATATATAGGGACTTTGGTGCACCCTTTACATGAACTCGGACGAAACTATACATGGGAGCTATATCTAAATCTGGACCGATTTTCTCGAAACTTGGCAGACATCATTCTAGGCTCAATTCAGTACGTTATGTCAAATTTTGTGCAAATCGAAAGATATATAGGGACTTTGGGGCACCATTTACGTGAAATCGGACGAAACTTTCAGAACGTTTTGTTCCTATCACCCTATTGGTTACTTGTCGCGTCAATTACTTAAAATCAATCTATAATAAAAGGGAGCTATATCTAAATCATTATCGTTATGCAAAATTTCGTGCAAATCGAAGGATATATGGGGACTTTGGTGCACCCTTTACATGAACTCGGACGAAACTATACATGGGAGCTATATCTAAATCTGGACCGATTTTCTCGAAACTTGGCAGACATCATTCTAGGCTCAATTCAGTACGTTATGTCAAATTTTGTGCAAATCGAAAGATATATAGGGACTTTGGGGCACCATTTACATAAAATCGGACGAAACTATATATGGGAGCTATATCTAAATCTGGACCGATTTTCTTGAAACATGGCAGACATCATTCTAGGATCAATTCAGTACGTTATGCCAAATTTCGTGCAAATCGAATGATATATAGGGACTTTGGGGCACCATTTACATGAAATCGGACGAAACTATATATGGGAGCTATATCTAAATCTGAACCGATTCCAACAAAATTTCGCATACATCAGTCGGGAACTAATTCAGTACTCTGCGCAAAATGTTGTTTCAATCGGATCAATATTGGGAGTTTGGTGTACTATTTTCTTTAAATCGGACGAAACTATATATGGGAACTATGTCTAAATCTGATCCGATTTCAACAAAACTTCTCATTCATTCGAAACTACATATCGGAGCTATATCTAAATCTAAACCGATTCCAACAAAATTTCGCACACATCAGTCGGGACCTAATTCAATACATGATGCAAAATTTTGTCTCCATCAGACCACTATTGGGAGTTTGGTGTATCAATACGTTAAAATCGGACGAAAATATATATGGGAGCTATATCTAAATCAGAACCGATTTTAACAAAACTTCGCAGACATCAATCTGGACCTAAATCAGTACTCTGTGCAAAAATGTGTCCCAATCGGACAAATATTGGGAGTTTGGTGTATTATTCACCGAAAATCAGACGAAACTATATATGGGAGCTATATCTAAATCTGAACCGATTTTCTCCAAATTTCAATAGGGTTCGTCCGTGGGCCAAATAAGTGACCTGTGCCAAATTTCATCCAAAGCGGATAATAAATGCGACCTGTACTTTGTTGACAAAAATACATGGACGGACAGACGGACATGCGTAAATCGAGTCAGAAAGTGATTGTATGCATATTCTCAAAAGGAACCATGAGTCTATCTTGATTCATTTTGCCTGTTACAAACATATGGACAAAGACATAATACCCTGTACCACAGTGTGGTGAAGGGTATAGAAAACCAAATTACAAAGAATTTGGTTGAAAAACGCGCTCAAGAACCCCAAAATACCGAAAATTGGGGGGTACCCTTATATGGGGGTTACCCGAATAAATTGACCTATATTTATAATTTATAGTGGAGAGATTTGCTACCTAATAAGAACTCGACGTACTGAATTACAGTCAATTCGGTCGAAAAATACGATCAGAACCCCCTAAATACCAAAAATTTGGGGGTACCGTTATATGGGGACTACCAGAAAAACTAGACTTATATTTATAATTTTTAGTGGAGTAATTTGGTACCCAATAAGAACCCACTGTACAAAATTTCAGAGAATTCAGTTATAAAACGAGCTCAAGAACCCGAAAATAGCGAAAATTGGGGCTACCCTTATATGGGGACTATCCGAAAAAATGGACCTATATTTATGATTTTTAGTAGGGAGATTTGCTACCCAATAAGAACTCAAAGTACCAAATTTCAGCGAATTCAGTTAAAAAACGTGCTAAATAACCTCAAAATACTGAAAATTGGGGGGTACCCTTATATGGGAGCTATGTCTAAACGTGGACCGATTTTCTCCAATTTCAATAGGGTTCGTCCTTGGGCCAATTAAGTGACCTGTGCCAAATTTCATCCAAATCGGATCATAAATGCGACCTGTACTTTGTTAACAAAAATACATGGACGGACGGACGGACGGACAGACGGACGGACAGCCATCCCATAAATATTATAGAAGGAATTATTTTAAATATATAATTTCCTTAATAGATTTCTAATATAGTTCTTACTTTATTCATAAAAATTATACATAGGTCTTTAATAAAACTAGTTTTACAAATCGGCAAAATATTTCCTAAAGTCTATCAAAAATAGTATCAATATCATTCTTATTTAAATTCTCAATTACATAATTAAATACAAATACTTCATTAAAAGCAATATGACTACTCTTACATAGTATCACATACTTCATTAATACATCCACACACACACCGATACAAACACACAATTCAGTATGTCAGTATTAACAATTATATCCTGTGTCCACTTACTTATTTCGCAAAATGTGTTCATTCAATTATGTATATCATTCACTCACTACAGCATTGTTGTTGTCGTTCTTCTTCTTCTTCTTATTTTTGTTTATCTCCTTTCAGTTCCCCTTATGATGGCGTACGTAACGCGTTACATTTACGGCACCGATAAATTACGACCCAACGCCTTTGAAGTACGTGGCATAAATGGCACATCGACGGGCATAATACACTGTGATGATTTGGCCATTTTAAGCCAATGGCTGAAATTGATTAACGACAACGTTGTCGGCCTGACACATTTACAGGTAAATTAAAACAAAAAAAAAACTCCTCAAAAAATATATTTATATATCTGTAGCATATAGTGATTTTATTGGGTAGTTTGGGGGGGATTATCGGCATTGATTGTGTTGACAAATGGAAACAATTTTTTTCGAAGGGATTTTTATGCGACAAATAACACAGTCGGTGGTACTAATATTTAATTGTGATTGATGGAAATTAAAAATGTTATTGATTATTGGAGTATTTTTATTACTTCGGCTAAGATACCGCTTTGTACCTAACTGGAGGAACTTAAAATCGGATTTTTTATATTTGCTTATTAGAATATTATGTGATTGTGGTAATCGTTATTACTTATTTTTATACTTCGTTGATACGATAAAAATATACCGCATCAAAATATTTGTTCTAGATCCCACGAGACTATCGGTTCACTCATTCAGGTACCTGAAATGGTAACTATTTTGAAGAAAAACTAAATTGTACCCACAAAATATTGTAGGGGGTATATTATCGACTGAAGACCCAAATGACGAAAAGTGCAACACAAAATTATTTATGGGAAAATTCCAAAAAATTATGATAGAGGGGATAAAAATAGAAGACAGGTGCATCGACATTTTGATAGTTTACATTTCTAAGACAATTGAAAATATTCGGATTAAGATTTCTCGAAATCATTGCATTTTAGGTATATGGTGTCTTTGTCAATATTTTAGTCACATACGTTAACGCTCACTCGACTATCTGAAGGGGTCCTTTCGGTCCCCTTTCCAAAATCGATTCAAAACTCATTTTAAACGGGGTTATATCAGGCCAGAATCTTCGAGATCATTTTTTGGACGGAACCTTCAATAGAGGGCTTTATTAAATTATAAAAATATTTTAAATCTTCCACCATAGTATGGAGGGTATATTTTTTGTTTTTTGTTTTTTATACCCTTCACCACACTGTGGTACAGGGTATTATGTCTTTGTGCATATGTTTGTAACAGGCAAAAATAATCGAGATAGACCCATGGTTGCTTTTGAGAATATGCATAGAATCACTTTCTGAGTCGATTTATACATGTCCGTCCGTCTGTCCGTCCGTCCATGTATTTTTGTTAACAAAGTACAGGTCGCATTTATGATCCGATTTGGATGAAATTTGGCACAGGTCACTTAATTGGCTCAAGGACGAACCCTATTGAAATTGGAGAAAATCGGTCCACGTTTAGGCATAGCTGCCATATAAGGGTACCCCCCAATTTTCGGTATTTTGAGGTTATTTAGCACGTTTTTTAACTGAATTCGCTGAAATTTGGTACTTTGAGTTCTTATTGGGTAGCAAATCTCCCTACTAAACATTATAAATATAGGTCCATTTTTTCGGATAGTCCCCATATAAGGGTAGCCCCAATTTTCGGTATTTTGGGGGTTTTGATCGCATTTTTGGACCGAATTCGCTGAAATTTGGTACTTTGAATTCTTTTTGGGTAGCAAATTTCCCTACTAAAAATTATAAATATAGGTCAATTTTTTCGGATAGTCCCCATATAAGGGTACCCACAATTTTCGATATTTTGGGGTTCTTGAGCTCGTTTTATAACTGAATTCTCTGAAATTTTGTACATTGGGTTCTTATTGGGTACCAAAGTACTCCACTAAAAATTATAAATATAAGTCCAGTTTTTCTGGTAGTCCCCATATAACGGTACCCCCAAATTTTTGGTATTTTGGGGGTTCTGATCGTATTTTTCGACCGAATTGACTGTAATTTAGTACGTCGAGTTCATATTAGGTAGCAAATCTCTCCACTATAAATTATAAATATAGGTCAATTTATTCGGGTAACCCCCATATAAGGGTACCCCCCAATTTTCGGTATTTTGGGGTTCTTGAGCGCGTTTTTCAACCAAATTCTTTGTAATTTGGTTTTTTATACCCTTCACCACACTGTGGTACAGGTTATTATGTATTTGTGCATATGTTTGTAACAGGCAAAAGGAATCAAGATAGACCCATGGTTCCTTTTGAAAAAAATGCATATAATCACTTTTTAAGTCGATTTATGCATGTCCGTCCGTCTGTACGTCCGTCTGTCTGTCCATGTTAAATTGTAAACAAAGTACAGGTCGCATTTATTATTCGAATCCCCATATATATATATATATATATATATTATTCGAACTCCCATATATATTTTCGCCCGATTTAAGGAAAATGGTGTACCAAAGCCTCTGTATACCTCTAGATTTCCAAGAAATTTGGTACAGCGTACTGAAAAAAGTCTCGAATGATGTGTGTTAAGTTTCGTGAAAATCAAAAATGCGACGTCAGTTAAGATTCATCTGTGGAATTTACCCAAAGTGGTGAAGGGTATCATAAAGTCGGCCCCGTCCGACTTTACCACTTTCTTACTGTTTTTTTTTTTTTTTTGTAACTCATCGAAATAATCATTTACGACCCTAATATATATATATATATATATATATATATTTGATCAGCCTAAAATTCTATCACGATCTAAGCATGTCCGTCGGTCTGTTGTAGTCACTCTAGTGTCTAAACGAATTGAGAAAGATCTCCAAAATTTTGCACTAAGTCTTTTGTCTACAGGGATGCCAAGTTCCAAGATAGGCCACATCGGTCCTCGTTTAGGCATAACTTCCATATAAGGGTACAGGTATTTTGGGATTGTTGAGCGCGTTTTTCAACCGAATTCGCTAAAATTGGGAACATTGAGTACTTTTTGAGTGTCAAATGTATCCACTAAAAACTATAAATATAGACCCACATTTGCTGACAGCCCCATATAAGGGTAACCCCCCCCCTTCAGTTTTTGCGGTATTTTGACCGCATTTTCCCGGAATTAGCTGTAATATAGTACTTTGAGTTCTTATTGGCTAGAAAATTTACCTACTAAAAATTAAAAATATAGGTTCATGTATTCGGGTAGCCCCCATATAAGGGTACCCACCAATTTTCGGTATTTTGGGGCTCTTGATCTTTTACAACTGAATTCGCTGAAATTTGGTACATTAGGTTCTAATTAGGTACCAAATTTCTCCACTAAAAATTATAATATAGGTCCACTTTATCTGGGGGTTTTGGTCGTATTTTACGACCAAATTGGCTATAATTTAGTATTTGGAGTTCTTATTGGGTAGCAAATCTCTTCACCAAAAATTATATATTTAGGCCAATTTTTTCAGGTAGCCCCCATATAAGGGTACCCCCAAATTTTCGGGATTTTGGGGTTCTTGAGCGCGTTTTTCAACCAAATTCTTTGTAATTTGGTTTTTTGTAGTCGTATATGGTAACAAATCTCCCTCCCAAAAATTTTTAATATTTGTCACCTTTTAGGGGAATTCCCCATATAACCCCACACTGTGGTTCAGGTTATTATGTCTTTGTGCATATTTTTATAACAGGTAAAATGAATCGAGATAGAATCATGGTTCCTTTTGAGAATATGCATAGAATCACTTTCTGAGTCGATTTACGCATGTCCGTCCATCTGTCCGTCTATTTGTCCATCCGTCCGTCGATGTATTTTTGTGAACAAAGTACAGGTCGCATTTATGATCCGATTTGGATGAAATTTGGCATATTGGAGAAAATCGGTTTAGATTTAGATATAGCTCCCATATATAGTTTAGTCCGATTTTTTTGTAAATGGAGCACCATACTGTCAATATTATTCCGATTGAGACAAAATTTTGCACAGCGTACTGAATTAAGTCCAGATTGATGTATGCGAAGTTTTGTTGAAATCGGTTCAGATTTAGATATAGCTCCCATGAATAGTTTCGTCCGATTTTATGTAAATGGAGCACCATGCTGGCAATATTGGTCCGATTGAGACAAAATTTTGCACAGCGTACTGAATTAGGTCCAGGTTAATGTATGCGAAGGTTTGTTGAAATCGATTCAGATTTAGATATAGCTCCCATATATAGTTCGTCCGATTATATGTAAATGGTGAACCAAACTCCCAAAGTTTGTCCGATGGAGACAACATTTCCCGCTAGACGTTAGATCCCGATTTGTTAAAATATATATATTTGTACGATTGAGACAACATTTTGCACAACATACTAAATTAAGTCCAGTTTGATTTCATGCAAATGGTGCATGAAATTTGGAAATCGGTTCAGGTTTAGATATACCTAAAGGAAGTTATTGTGAGGCAAAAATGTTAGTTTCGAAATTGACCAAAATCAGTACTCAATTAAGCATAGCACCCATATAATGATAACTACAAATGTTCGGTATACGATGTAATCAATATTGGTCCCGCTACAATGACAATTTCATATTGATTCAGCAGCTTCCGGTATAAAAATACGATAATAGTGCACATTCTTAGTACGCATTATTCTTTAATGTACGAATTTCCCAGTTATTTTTTTATAAAACATATAGGAAATATTGTAGGAGGGAAACAATATTAAAGAAGGAAAGTTCAAGTGTTGTTCTGTTTCTCGATATTTCACAAAATTCTCCAGTTCAGCTTCAACATTACAATGAAGTTCATTTCTATCCTTAATACCCAGAAAATGTTCCCTATCATCCTGAATAACTTTCACGTGGTAGCAACCCCTTCCGCTTTTTCATGGCGCGGTCTGTTGCTATTTTCATACATTTGCAAAATATTTTCGTTAACTACAAAATAAACTTTCTCCGTTATATACATTTGCATTCCTTAAATATACATTTACACCTGCATTCCACACGCAGACACACATATCCATAAAAATCTACACACACGCGTACACACAAACATTTTCCAGCTATATTCGTAAATTCATTTGCATTCCTTGCTGTTCAAATAAAAGTTTTATTTTTTGTATTGCAATAAAACAATTTGTTCATCCAATGGCAACCAAACCAACCAACACATACATACCGACACTCATACGCACACTTCAACAATAACAAATAAACTCAAGGGCTTCTATAAAATTAAAGCCCAGGACCAAAAGAGGGGGAAAACTTTCACCAGGTGCACACACACACTAACAGACATACGGTA